CAGAGCAGAAAACCTCCTTTTTGTGGAGGGTACACTTTGGCCATCATCATTTTTCAGCCAAATCCTGCCCTGCACATAACTGGAAAAAAACCAGCTTTTGCTTCAGTAGAACTTGTGCTTAAACTCAAATATGGCCCTCTTTTTCCTGTTTAAATATAAATGTAAAGCGTTTCTGTATCTAAAACTGTTTTAAATTGAAGTATTAAAACAGTGCATTGGTTAAATCAGTTAAAAATATTGCTAATATTTTTTTACAAAAAATCCTTAGATAACGGCAAAGCCCATTAAAAAAAAAAAAACAAACCTGCAGCACAACAGGAAAAAGGAAATGCTTTGGAGATAGGGTCTAGTGTATATACACTATACTCAGCCATGACATCAGTGTAATTATTTTTCCCTAAGGTAAATGTCTTATGTTACAAATTCTTCCCTTGCCAGAGGCCTCAGGCCCCACAGATGTTCAGATAGCAAAGCACTTGAGTTTTCAACACCCAAGAGGTCTATGGGAGCTCCACTGCTGTACCATAGCTACAGCCCAACCAGTTTCTGCTTTTCTCATTCTATATTTCTTGTCCTCTTTCACCTGTCAGAGAGAACTCCTCCTTGTCTTTCTCAAAATAGTTGATAAAGCTTTGAAAGGCAAGGTGTGCCCTTGCAGCAAACCTGTTTTCTAGTTTCTACTTTTGCTGTAGTCAAATTTCCATCCTGTGTTGGAGCCAAATTTCCAAAACATGTCGATTAAGCAAATAATTGCCTCTGAGAAAAATACTTGACATTGATCTTCAGCTCTATAGTAAGGTCCAGTAAAGGAAGGTTCAAATAAGCTGAGATCCTTTTGGGATCTCCTAATTAGAAATCTGTTTGAAGAGTTCATATGGTACAGTCTGATTTAGATGTTCCATGACCTCTTCCCCATGTCCTTAACAAATAAAACTCCTTAAGATCAAACACGTGGTAATGCATGTTATGGTATTTATTACATAGGAAATAAAGTAAATGAAGGGTGATCAAACTGCCTGAACAAGTTACCCAGCATTTATTTTATAACAGTAGATGAAAACAAATGATATAAAGACATTAGAGTTAATATTTTACACCACCAATGATAATGATCCGTAATATATATATTTGAAACATGTTTTAAAAGGCACTTTAAGCCTTTTTAAAGAGCTGCTACTCATTTACAACATGAATGTGGGATTGTGTAAATGAAAAAGATATTATGTATAAATATCACAATTTTATATGAATGAATGAATTGTGAAATCTATTTTAAAGGAATACTCTGAATCTGCTACCCATATTGTTTACTATGAAGCCATACAGAATAATGAAAATAAATTGATATGTCTGGTTTGCATACTAAAATGAAGTATTATTAAGGTTACTTGATTAAGGGTCATGCTTAAAATACGATCTACTTTAAATGAGCTAGTTAGCAATACCAGTTAAAATACTCCCATGTATTATTATATATACTATAGGAAATAATACATTTATTGGTACAATGAAATGCCAGCATCTCTTAAGAATAACTGCAGCATGTGTTTCTGTATTAAAGTATAATACCTTAATAACACTTCAGTATATAACACCAGTACATAATATCACTACTTATGGGTGAAATATAGGGCTAACATAATGTAGGTAACCAACCATTGGAAAATAAAAAATAAATAAACATTTTAAGTTCAATGCTTACAATTAATCTTTTACCCAGCTTCATACTGACTTACAATAATGTAATTCTGATTAAAATATTTGTCATCCTAAATTAGATCAAACTAGTTTTTTTAAAAATGTGTTTTCCTTAGCTGAAGTTTATAATCTGGCCTAAGGAAAATCAGTTCTGAAACAAATATAGGATCGATGCAAAATCTGCAATTACCATGAGTAGAAAAGAGTTCAAGGTAAAGAACTTCATAGGCAGACATTGGAAGTGTGAGCTTCCAGGTTTAGTTATGATAAGAGATTGCACAGGGATCTAAGTCACAGTCTGAATAATAAATCTTCATTTCAGCCAACCATCATTCTTTGTTTTCAGCAGACACCCCAATGGAATAAAAAGATATGTCTCATTCTTCTCTCCCTTCCTTATATAACTGTTAAAGGTTATTCCTTCAAACAGTGTAGTGCGGAATGTCCTACAAGTTAACATGTCATGTACAGATTTTTGGTGCTGGTTTCACCCAAGGGGAAACTTAAAAAGTGAAGGATGCCAGGAGGTTGTTAAGATGTCAAGAGAAAGATACAGAAGTTGGACATGTGGTATCCAATTCTAAAAAGCCACAAATGAAATATAAAGGCTGGGTTGCTGGTTTCACAACATCAGAAATCTATCATTTAATTTCATAATTAAATAAATTAAATAACTAAAAATAATAACGAGAATAATTCTGCAAGGGAAAATCTGAAATTTGGTATACAATTACTCAGTTTGACAGTACTGAAATGAATGCTCCTAATGGATTTTACAAGCTATCTGTCAATTATCACAACTTAAGAGATACAACACTATGGAAAGCTATACACTTTCTCACACAATAGGGATAATTTCAAAAGCTATGGAAATTGTGGCAGTGATGAAATTGGAAATAACAGGTTTGTCAATTAGTAATAATGTGGAAAATCCACATGAACAATTGTTTTCCAAACCCAGAAAAAAATTAGTATGGAAAAAGCTAGATTTCTAATTGATTGTAAGTCACCTAATGGCTTGATGCTGCACAGATTTCCATGTCTTAGAGGAATGTTTCAAAAGTTTTTATTAAATGCAATAGTAAATTGACTTTTTAGAGTACAGTGGAATTGGCTGACTTTGAAAAACAGAAAGCAACATGACTTTTCAGGAAGTATAAATGCATTCTAGATACAAAGAAAGTAATATATTGCAGTCTGCTGGAATAATGCAAAACAGAAATTAGTAGAAATACTGTCCTGATCCTATGAATGCAACTGGCCATACTAACTACCTCACAGGTCTTGTGGTTCATTCATTTGTCAAGTTCTTGCTTCATGTGTACTTCATTAAAAGCTCTTAATTCAATTTTCACCTGTTTGCTCTATCAACAACTTCACTTTCACAGTGAGACTGCTTCCATGACATCAAGTGCTAAATAAAATCCTCAGCTTAATAACGGAATGATCTTCTCTTACTAATACTTGCAATAACTCACCTTGAATGGCAGGCCTAGTGTGACTCATTGACATTCCTGGGCCCTTAAATGACTCAAACTCAACTCTCAGGAGAAGAAATAGGACTGTCTTTGTCTGGGCACAACAGATAGAAACATTCATCAGGAAACTTTGCAATACGCCTTACTGTTCCCAAAGCAACAGATTTGCCTCTGTTTGCTTCAGACTTTATCTGAGTAACTTGGTCAAAACTCTTAGAAACTTATGTAATAATATCTACAATCAGTTCAGACTCAGCTGCAGGATTGTTTTTGGCTTGTAAAGGAGAAAGAGCTAGATTACCAGTCTCTTCATCCACAATGACTGCAACTGATTTGGCAGCTCTAACTAGACTTTCAAAACTAACCTTTCTGATAACCCCCTGAAACTAAACTTTTTAAGCAAACAAATTAGCAAATTTTGTCTGCCTCTAAATTAGGAGGATTCAGATTTCATTGCACAAATCTCTTTGTATGGAAATCTCTTGACCTATTTACATCTCCGTTTCAGAATCATGTTTCTTGTTGGTTGTTGTGATTAAATAGGAAGCATGGCTATCATGTTGAATTAAAATAAATTAAAGCTGTGCACTTTCCCAATTAGGCCTTTTGTGGGACATCTTTCATCAGGAAGACAGGCCCATCCATCAGTCTGAATTGCAAATACATTTTAAAAGCTTCATTCTCTCTTATAATTTAAAATTTCATAATTAGTTATCATGGGTGTGGTAGAGTTGCAAAATGTTGTGTGCTTATGTGTACAGTCGGAGTGCTCAAATCTATAACAGAGTCACTGGTTTTAAGAGGTTGGCAAACCCTGAGTTAAACTCTAGAACAACTGTCGGCTTGTGAATAATCACATATACAAACTGAATTTGAATTGTTAATTAAATATTCTGTTTTATTTCTATGCCTCAGCTTCCCTCCCCTATATTACCTCTGGAGAAACAAATGAAGTTAAATTTTGTTCTTAGTTTATACAACTAAAATTTTAGTCATAGTAATATTTGATACTTTTTTAGAAGCCAAAGGAGAAAATTGCCTTCTATTTAAGTACACAGGGTTTTTGCATTGTCACAGTACATTACATAGATCTGATGTTTAACATATAACTGTACTAATCTTTGTGGCAAATGTAATAACAAAAGAAAGTTGTTTGGAGATTTTTCTATTTTTATTTAAAAAAAAAATAACAAAAACGTTTCTATTGAAGGACCACATGTAAAAACTATGGTTTCTCTGCACAGAGACCAAGGCTGCTTATTACCTACAGTATACTAGCTATGATGAACAGACCACCATAGTTGTGACAACTGATGTTGCTGCCTCCAGGGTAAAACAAAGGTTTACATATTACACAAGCAATTTAACTGTTTTCTAAACATATTGCCAAGACAGTGGGAGTTGGCAGCCAGCACTGTGTTTTAGGTTTTGGATACTTGGATTAGAACTGACTGCTGATTATAGACCTTTTTATTTGTCCTCTACGAATTACAAGCAACCTAGTAACCCAGCAAAGAATCCTTTGCAGCACTTAAACTTGTCTTCATGGCTTCCCAAAGATTACATACACAAATCACTCCACAAAAGTGGTGCAAGAGACTTGTGCATAGATAACTACATAAGACAATTGTCTTGTTCTAACTCTTAAAGAGTTCTCCAAAGTGAAATGTTTTATAATCCTTTTTGTGCAGTAGTCAGGAAAGAAATAAAAGAGTTTGGGCAGAGATTATCCACAAGAAAGAAACTTTTTTTTGGGTTCCAGCTGCAACACAATAAGGAACATAATTAACTTCACAATTCTTTGTGTTTTTCATTTGACTGCAGGGAGGAGATGAAAGAGGACTGTTAAGCCTTGCATTCCATCCCAATTACAAGAAAAATGGAAAGCTGTATGTGTCTTATACCACCAACCAAGAACGGTGGGCTATTGGACCTCATGATCACATCCTTAGGGTCGTAGAATACACAGTATCCAGGTATCATTAGAAGTCTAAAATTCACAAATTTTGTATTTATCAGCAATCTTCTTCAATTTTGTGTATCCTATTTCTAAAATGAACTCATTTACATGTACAAAGCACATACTTGGGCACTTGCAGAAAAATTATTGCTGATATTTATTTCAAACAGTATTTTTGGAATACCAGTAAGTATAATGATTTATGCTTTTTAAGACTTCTTTTTAATTATTCTGTCATTATAAAATTATATTTATTTCCTACTTGTGTATGGACAGCAAAATAATTTTTGTGAATGCTGAAAAATTAAATTTCTCAGAAATTATTGTTGGGCATTTTTTTTACCAAGTTAAAACATCCGCCTCTTAAAGTATAATTTGAATGACTCCAGTTTATTTTTAGAAAGAAAACTTATGATAGTGAGCTGTGAAAACTGTTTTCATATCTTTGTATTGCAGGAAAAACCCACACCAAGTTGATATGAGAACAGCAAGAGTATTTTTAGAAGTAGCAGAACTACATCGAAAACACCTAGGAGGACAGCTTCTGTTTGGCCCAGATGGCTTCCTATACATCTTTCTTGGAGATGGCATGATTACTCTAGATGATATGGAAGAGATGGATGGATTAAGGTACAAAAACCACCAATGTATAGATTTATGTGGTCTTCTCTTTTTGCACAATATTTCGGTCAGAAACAAAAATGATCAACAGTTGTCAGCACAAATCTTACACTTTCTTTACTGCATTACCTCAGTATTTTCAACTCCTGAATTTAGCAGTTAATTTTCAGAACAGTCTTACTACTTAGAAACATCTTGTAGTTGTGTGCTATCAGACCCCATAAATACTGGGTTTCATCATCACCAGTACATGTAATTCTATTTAAACAGCAGTTAGACTTTTTTTTTTTACAAACTATTATTCTATGAACAGGACAACTTTATTGAGCAAATGTTCTAACAGACACATACCAGAGTCAATAACAACACTGTATCCCTTAAGAAAATGTCTAGAGAATTTATGAAGCAATCCTGCTTTGGTTCTACCTATACAGTTTTCTCAACCAGCTTTGACCCTGTTTTATTACATTATAGAATCATAGAATGATTTGGATTTGAAGGGACCTTAAAGATGATTCAGTTCCAACTCCTATGCCAGGGGCAGGGATACCTTTCACTAGATCAGGTTGCCCAAAGCCCTATCCTATGTTAGAGTTGCAAAGAGTTGGCCCAATATTGCTTTAGTTTAGAGAAAGCGTGATAACTGAGCCTTTACAGACCTAAAAGTAGTTGCTATGCTCAAAGGCTTCTTTGGTTCAGCAGAATAGCAGATGCTCCTGAACCTTACAATGAGGATATCCTTAACACCAAGACCAGAGAGTAATTATTTTAAATTAATATAGAATAAGGGGGGTGACTGAAACAGATGCTGTGATACAGAAAGTTATTCTTGTTATCACGTTGCACCCCAGCAGAATGGTCAGAGGAGTTCTAGTATAGATATAACGAGGCAACATGTTGGCCAAAATTAATCTTTGATGGGTTCTGCTACAATTCTTAGGACTATCACATACCATAAAAGACCAGTCTGGACATGAATATTAAGTAAAGTACATGGTTTCTTTTGCTGGTTCACTGTAGTATTATATGGGTTAAATATACTAGGAAAATACTTTCAAAAGACAATTATTTTATCCTCCAACTTTCTCAGTGATTTTACAGGTTCTGTATTACGCCTTGACGTAAATACTGACCTGTGCAGTGTCCCTTATTCCATACCACGGAGCAACCCACATTTTAATAGCACAAACCAACCTCCAGAAATCTTTGCACATGGACTCCACAATCCAGGCCGGTAAGTAAATTACAGTTAAATTGAATTACTCTGGAGCAGGTACCGTTTTCAGCCAGAAATAGTTTACCTAGTCTGGTAACAAAATTTTCATGATAAAGGCACTCATGAACCTTTTTAACAGCCACTCCTCCATCTTCACATATATGTCACAGTTAGAAACAAATGTGTATTGGAAAAGGGGAAGGAAGGAGAAGAGAATGCACAGCTATTGCAAGTCAAGACTGAAATGGAAGAAACAACGTACTGGCTTTTTTTTTTTCCCTCTATATTTTTTTCTTTATGAAGCACGAGAACTTAAAGCAGGGAGCTGGTAAAACACAGCTGCGATGGGAATCTGAGAAATTAGAACAGTAGAATCTTGATTGAGAAAAAAAGGCACATAGAAAACAAATGAGAACATCTGGTGAAATCTAAACAATAACAAGGAGGAGAGCAACACTTTAACTAAACAACACATAATTCAGCAAATTAGGTGGGTGGTAGTACTGAAGTGACATTTAAAGTCATGGTTTAAAAAAATCAGAAATTCAGAAGCTGTTCAGACAAGAGTTGACCATCAGACTTCTTAAAAATCAAAAATTTCTACACCATGTAAGTCAACTCATTTAGTTTGGTTAAAGTATTGCTTATTTCCAGCATTGTTGAGCAGAGCAGATTCCAGCACTACGTAAAAGTATAGTTTTAGTCCATGTTATATAAAAATTGTGCAGGGATGGGAAAGATATTCTCTCTTATATTCAAATCTGATGCATCTCTCAGATATTTTGGCTCATTATGAAGCAGGTCCCTCAAATGCATATAAGCCACAATGAAACAGTAATCCCTCAAAATGTGACACTTCACACTATTGAAGCCATTCTACTGAATCCATGTATCTCATGAATTTTCTTCTATTGTCTTGTCTTACAGCTGTGCTGTGGATCGCCATCCAACAGATGTAAACATCAATTTAACAATACTTTGCTCAGATTCAAATGGAAAGAACAGATCTTCAGCAAGAATCTTACAGATAATAAAGGGTAAAGACTATGGTAAGTTCCATCCAGGGTAAAGCTACTGGGAATAGAAAGTACAGTACAAGCAGATAAAAGATGAAAGATGAAACAAAATTTAAATGACTGAACTTTGTTCTTGTTTTTGCAGAATATCATGTAAATAAGATTCAAGAAATATGCTAGTTGCTAGTCTCTCTAAGATCTTACTGTAATTGCAAATGATGGCTCATAAAGAAAAGATTTTGGAATATCAGGAAGTGATGAAAATGTATTCTTAGTCATTCACAAATAACCTTTTAAGGTACAGAATGGAAATCTCATGTAATGTGCCTTCTATAATGGAAAAAATGAGATAGACAACAACAGAACAAAACCAAACAGGGAAATGACTGAGCTCTGTTTAAATGTTACTAAAAATGAACAACTTAGAGAAATGCACTATGCTACTACTTCATAATAAAAGACTAGTTTAGATTGCAATAGAATAAACATACTCAATTAGGAACTTAAAATTTTAGAATGTTTTATGTGCTCTCTGAATCAGTATGATTGCCACTCACAATTTTAATTTAATGTTTAACTCTGATACCTACTAAAATCACTTGCTTGTTCAGGGAAGCCAGGTGGTAGTTACTCTGAGCTATCCCCTGCCTTGGTTGACCATTTCCCAGCTTCTAAATACATGGTGGTAAAAGGTGGTAAGTTTCAAAGGTGTTTAAAGGGATCAAGGACTGACATATTTCCTGGAACATAATGTTTTCAGGTTTTATTCACATCTCCAGTTCTTCCACCTGTACTGTACTTAAAAGCAAAGCAGCTGCACTGGCTAGTAGCACAGTCTCAACGTGTAATGCAATTGTTCTACTTTAGTTATTGCATGTATTTTCTGTGTGCATTTTATAAAAGCCAAACCAAAGAATAATATTTGGTAAACCACTGCTCCAATGGAATTTTGACTGCATCTTTATTGTAGAGTAAACTAAGCAATATTGTGTCTATCCAGAACAGCTTGCCAATATTAATACTAGGCTGTGGGTTGACTGCTTAAATAAAAAGAGCTCATCATCCTTTTCTCCCACATTTAAAATTTCAGCTCTTTCTCATGTAGAATAATCTAGGAAATTCATTTATCAAAGACCTGCAGACAGTACTGCAACTAAAAATAAAGTTCCTATGAAACAAAAAAGTCTGTTGGCTGTGGCTTTAATTTAAAGTTATGAAGTTAGGATTTCAATCTGAGCCTGCTTTTACCCTAAGCAATATTTGATTGCATGCATAGGAACATTTGCATTGAAACTTCCTCAAAGACATGATTTGATGTGACTAAACTCTGCAGTTCTGAAAAAAAAAAAAAAAAAAAAAAAAAAGTGTAGGAACTGAAATTATAATAGCAGCAGGAAAAATTACCATAAGTAGCTACATCCAGCAATACTAATGTTTTATGGGAAGTAAGAGACAAACTGTATTTAAAACTGTGATTTTGAAAGACTTTCTCAAACCATTGAATAGCTTTGAAAATAAGTTCTGCTGAAAATCACAGGAATTCATGCTCTTAGGTACTGGTAAAAAATCTGAGCACCCTTTTCAGTGAAGGGGGTTTAATTATATTCCTGACATTCAAGAGATCTATTCTGTAGACTGTATTGACACAAAAAAGTTAATAGCTGTAATCACATTAACTTCAATGGAAGTCTGACCTAATCCTGATACAGTTTTATTCTCTTGGCTTGTGCATGGAAGAAGGTAATTATAGTGTCTCCTATCTAAATCCCTAACTCATTGTTTCACACACAGCTTTTGTTGCAATGTTCTGATTTTCCTAATGCTTTCTTTCCAGCTACACATCTTGAATTTTAAAGTACATTTAAAGAGAATTAACCTATTTCTTGAAGTAATAATACTTTTCATAAATATGAATCAAAATATGAAACTGCATATGATCTAATGCTATGGTAGTTCCTTTTTAGAAAGTGAGCCTTCACTTTTAGAATTCAAACCATTCAGCAGTGGAGCCTTGGTTGGTGGATTTGTCTATCGAGGTTGCCAGTCTGAAAGACTCTACGGAAGTTATGTATTTGGAGACCGCAATGGGTAGGTTTCTTATAATCTCAGCCTTAAACAAAAGTGAACATAAGGTGTATTTAGTTATGAGCTTCTTGTATAAAAGAACAGCAACAATCATTTTAAATTGTGTCACTTTGCCCATGTAGCAATGTGACGATACAGATTAAATTCAAGATTTGGAAATCAAACAGCATGACATTCTAATGAACGGCAGCATACATAACATGTCTAATCCTTGGAATAAAGTACAGACAAAGACACTAACATCACAGCTTTCTAAAGATTTTAGTTCTACAAACACTTACATATATCATTTACATTATAATGGGAATAAATGTTAATCATGGAATTGTTTGCCAAACAGGTCTAAATGATGAGATAAGGAGAACTTCTGGGGTTTTATGGAAACATCATTGATGGAGCAAAAGAAGTATTTTTAAATAAATGGGTATAGTTTTCCCATGCCAAATAGCTCAGTATTCACAAATGATTATCTATAGTATGGCTTGAACCCAATTTTGCAATGTTTAAATGAAAGGAAGGGAAATGCTATGCTTTTTAAACATCTGAAAAATAACAGGCAGGAAATAAGATGTGATGAACTGCATATATGCATCTATGGAGCTTTTTCCCGTAAATGTGTACTTATTTATATGGACAGTGAAAAATCTATATTTAAAATGTAATATAACAATTTCTTTTATGTATTTTTGATTATAGAAATTTTTTAACACTGCAACAGAATCCTGCAACTAAACAGTGGCAAGAGAAACCCCTCTGTCTTGGCAACAGCGGTTCATGTAGAGGTTTCTTTTCAGGCCCTGTCTTGGGATTTGGTGAAGACGAATTAGGTAAATAGAAAAAACTATGTTATTAAATTATAAGTCTTATCAGTATTGCCTGCTAAGCTATTAAAAATCATAGTAAACGTTTCAAAAGAAGAAATCTGAAGGCTAGCTCTCCTTTGCCAAAGCTTTCTTCGCTGCTGTTTCAGCTACACCTTACCAGCTGTGTAAGAAGAATTGAGAAGAGAAAGGGTTGTTGGAAGGGTCAAAGGTCCTTATTTTCTCTCACATTCTTTGAACCATGTCACTCACTATGACACAACTCATATGCCTGTTTTAATTCCCCATGTTACAGATGGGTAAAGGTATTGCATGAACAGATGGATCCCTCTTTATAATTCCCCAATTATATATTTTATGAATATGTATGAACAATATGAAATAGAAAACATTAATGATAAAGTATATTTCACATTTTAGCATCAATTTGGGAAAAGTGCTTATTTAAATTTTCAGGTAGCAATGATTCTGTTGTATATTTCAGTAAGGTGAGTTGTCTCCCAAGTGTTTTTTAACCTCATCTTGCAAACACATCTAGATCACAAAAACGTTTGACATCTTAGGAAAGAGGAACAATTTCATTGTGTTGTTTTCTTTAACAGGTGAGATTTACATATTATCAAGCAGTAAAAGTATGACGCAGTCTCACAATGGAAAGCTCTACAAGATCATTGACCCGAAAAGGTGAGCATTGCACTACTCCCTAAGATCAATCTTCCTTTCAACAGGTTAAAATCCAAAAGGTAAGTGTAGTTCTTTCATGTAGCTGTATTGTGCAATACTTACATTAAATAAGAAGGAAAATTCTTAGTGCAAGGGTTTCCTAAAAGCCAATGTACCATCAGCAGCAAACTAAATAGATTCACTAAAAGTAGTCACTGTCTCATAGAAAGTGACTTTCTGAACAGTAGAAGTGTAGCCACCACTAATTTTTACTCTTCAACGTTATGATAAATGCTGCCCACTTTCCCTCTTAGATTCACATTCTTTGTATATTTTCTTAGAAGTTTAGACACATTTAAAGTGCAACTATATGGACCAGTAAGGGTAAAAGATGCTTCTGGTAGTTCTGAAACCGAATGCCTTGTAGGTACCACAGAGGTTATACAGGGTCTATGGAAGGCAGAATGCTGGAATTCCCCCTAGTGCTGCTGCTGCCTTAGCTGCCACTGCAGTGTGACAGTTCACAAAGGGAGCTGGCTAAAAAGGTTAGTGCTGGCTGACAATATCTACTCTGCATACTGAAAAGCTACTACAGAAATAATTTGACGGTACTAGCTTTAGGTCAGTAATTTCTTTGGCTACTACCTGGTCAGTTCCAGTCTCACTTCCTCACAATTTCAGTTTTGCCATAAGTAAACTTATCTGAGGGACAAATTCATTCTTTCCCAAACATCTCTGGTGTTGTATAGGAGACACCACCAACTGAGAAGTACACAGAGGACTGAATCGTCAGCAGGTGTGCATTGTTATTGCTTACTAGGTTTCAAGATCCTTCCACATTCCAGCACTCACCTGTCTCTCCTTAGGGAGGTTTGGAGCACAAAGAGAGAATCTAAGGAAGGAAAACTTCTGTCCTTGGACTGTGTGCCAAAAATACACTCAAGTCATTAACATTTCTTAAATCTACTTATTTCTTAATGTTCTCATGTTCTTCATTAACTTTTCTTAAACCACAGCTTATGAATCACACCCAAATGATTTATAAGATGCTGAATTAATATGATCAGTACAGTTATTTAAACTAATTTACCAGCTGTAAAATGAGAATAAATGAAAATTACCAAACCAGAATTTCTTGAGGTCTGATCACCTTCAAGATCTTTGCAGAGCAGCTACAGCCATGGAAATACCAGGGGACATGGAAAGACTGCACAAAGCCAGTCCCATACGCAGTCCAGTGTGCCCAGCAGTAATAAGAGAAAGTGACTAGCAGACACTTACTTTGGCTGGTGAAATACCACTTTCTTCATGATGGATCATTCTGCTCCATCAGACCAAGTTCACGGCGTATAAAGCTACCACATGCATCCTGCAAAAGCATCAAAAATTAACACAAAATTAAAGGGCCAACAGAAATAAATTCTGTTAAAATAATTAATTTGACCTCATCATTCCCATGAGAACAACCTAGATTAGTATGTCTATTAGTTCAGTACCTACTTCAGCATGTTTATCCTTTAACATCACATACAGACATCATTATTGATTTTGCTGTTGACTGTTTAAGAGAGGAATTTGTTTTCTTGTCAGAATTTAAATTCTAAAAATTGTTATGGAACAACATGTGAAATCAATAATAAACCCATGAAACTGGGTGCACACTGTTCTGTAAATTACAGTAGAGTTTCAGAGTTTTTTGATTCTGCTACCCAAACCTATGGCAACTAGTTTGGAAGCAGATGTTACTGCAGGTTAGTGCAGTCTGTCAGTCAAGGTTATTATGTATGTTTTATTTATGCTTTCTGGTATTAAAAACATTGTTTTAGAACAAAACTTGCCATTCTTATTGGGATTGTTTAGTCTGTTGGTATATGGTTTTAAGTGAATTTTACACCCTAAATCCACTATTAGTATCTAATTACATGGGGCTGCCTTGTTTGACCTCGGCTTTTTGTTCTTGTTACCTCTTCCAGTAGGGTGGTCTTCAGCTGACATACCTGAAAGGCCAGACCTCCCATTGCTGCACTCACGGTTGGCTGTTTTCATGTATGGAAAAGGGTCAAGACTGTGTTTGGTTACTGGTGAAAGTAACCAGAAAACTATAAAATACTTTTGTAAATTGGCATACCTTTGAAATTAAACAGACTGTGGCAAAGGGATATAGTTTTTGGTAACACTTTCTAGAAACATGGGACAATTTTCATTCAGCCAAAGTTTTGAGTTTCGCTGTTTTTTAATCTCATACTATTGATGATTTTTAAGTGCAAGATGACTAATTACTTCCACAAAAGAGCATAGCAGCTCTACTTACCATTTCACGCTGATTTCACGTTACACTTATAAACAATTTAAAAATTCCATGGCTTTGACAAATGTTCATGTAACGCTTTATTAGCAAAATAGTAATTGTTAATCACATGCTAATACTTTTTGCATACTGTTATTTTGCTTTGCTGTTTAATGCCTTCCTCATGTTACATACCATACAACTACATCAAAAAAAAAGTGCAAACCCTAGCACAGTGAACTTTCTAAAACATAAAGTGAAGATGCTACAAGTTGGCTATGCGCATCAGGTATACAATCATCAAGGTATTGATTTGTCACATCGTAGAAATTCATTACTAACATAACAAAGTCCAGTGAGGGGTGGCCCTGGCAGACTAATCTATTTGCAGAGTGAGCCTTCCATGCATGGGACAGTGCAGAATACAATTATCATTCCTTGTGGTGACCCCTTGCTGGAAATTTAAAACTTCATGCAAAAAACAATCTTCTGCTAGTGCTTATAAGCTGCTATAAGAGTACGTAATTACTCTTTTATTCTAAATAATAAATGTTATATAGAGGTGCAGGATTTTGTTTCTTTTGATCTTTGTAGGAAACCACTGCGTAAACAAACTTGTTCTCAAACATAACTGAGCCTGATTTCTTCATCTCAAACAGAGCTTAAGAAACCTATTATTTTGATATTGCTAGCAGTAGAAAATTTTCAAAAGAGATAGCATGTTTAAAACATTAGAAGATCAGAGAATGAGAGTAATCCAGAGAACCTTTTGCATGAAGCTTCAATAATTAGCAATAGGAAGGTCCTTTCCTAAAACAATCCTTCAGATGTGATAAACATTAGGTGTTAAACTGAGGTGGTATATGAAAATTGATTATAAATAGGATCAACGCAGAGGTTCTGAATCCCTCCATCAAGGCGGTTTGAAACATAGAATACAAGGTACCACGGGAAACCTCTTTTTAGTTCCTCACCCCTCCAACAGGTCTCCAAATACTTTACATCAATAACTAAATATCCTCCCATGAAAAGCCCAGAATTAAATAATCCTTCTCTTCAAAGCAAGGTTGTTATAATGACACATTGGTGTGTGGGAACTATCAGGCAATGCCGTGATAAGTCAAAAAAAGAAAAATTAAAAACAAATTAAAGACCAGGCGTATGACAAATATATTACCTAATACCACAACTGAATACAGTGGAGAACATAGGTAATACCATATTTAGCTCTCAGATTGCAGGAGATGAGGGAAACCTTAAAGATTACAAACATTTAATATTAGGTAAATTGGTTAAACCAACAGACTAAAATTTCCTAAGTTAAAACTATGCCTCTGAAAAATATAGCTATTAGTTGATGACTATCAAAAAATGCTACGTTGTGAGAAGTAAAACACTTTCAAGGGCTAGGAATGAATGAGAAAATATTTATGTTAAAAAAAGAGAAAATTATTGGGTAAACATTGATATAGAACATGTATATAAGCCCAAATATTCTTGTTAGTCAGTAATAGAGAAAATAGGAGACAAAACTATTAGGAAAGAAAATGTAGCATGAGAGTAGAAAATTAAATGTAGGCAGTACTAAAAATGCGTATTTAAATAAAAAATATCTGTTGATAATGTTTAAATTATAGCTGATACAAACTTATTACCAGCTGTTATATGAAAACCATAGGGGGGGAAAAAAAGGAAAGATAGAAAGAAAATAAACTTTGGAAGTTGGGAAGTTGGCAGAACAGTGACAGTTTGGCTTTTTAAGTCTTCTGTTAGAATACTTACACTATGATCATGTTCACTTCTAAGCAAATTCTAGATAAAATGAAAAAGATTCAGAGAAGAATAGTTAAAGTGACAGACAATGCAAGAGATTTCTGTTTAAAAGATGAGACTAAAACCAGAGAAGCTAGAAGGACACTCATGCACCGCTGTAATCCCTATGAAGTTACAAGTTTTTGCCACTGCCTATACCATGACTCTAAAGCCGAAGAATAACTGTTTTGACCAGCATGGCTCACTGGAGCTAGCAGCTAATATTTACAAAAGAAGGCGGAGCTTAGTAAGTTTCCTTGCACGTGTAAGAATTCCTCTTCCTCTCCATATGTTTAACACCTTATAGATCTGGATTTCAATATGTTTTGTATCAACAGCCAGAATAGCTGCTTTCCGCTGGATTGAAACTTGAACTTGATTCAAACCATCTCCCTCCTCTTTCATGCCCCTCCAGAGTATGTAATTCCATTTATCATCCTTTCCATCACCACTGTTGGGATATCCACTACCAGAGTCTTTCCAAACAGAATGATTTCAAACATTAAGGGACTCTATCTAGGCTATATCTCATGTTGACATTGTTCAGGCTCTTTACAAGAATGGTTGTGATTTTACTTTTTAGCATGAGTCAGGAGCGTTAGATGGTAAGATGTAAGAGCAGCATTTATGAAAGTGTAGCCTTCTTGAAGACTTTAATTACTATAGAAATGGCAAGTCAGAAACATACAGCACTAGACTAATCTGCATCAACATCGTTCTGATGGGTTATAGAAATATTGTGAAGCTACTACTTAAAGCTGACTGTCGAATGAGCCAATTTTGTTGTTGAATGCTCTCACCAACCCAGGTGGGCCATGTGATTTCTTTCTGTTCAGAAAGTTACTATCCCTTAAGTCATTTGAGGGAATGGAAAGCCAGAATTAATGTCTAATTATGTTTAGTTTAGCCATAGCATGCAAAA